GGGGTCCACCATATCCGCCCCCTCCTGCATACCCCCCACCTCCTCCCATCCCTCCCCCGCAGCTGCAGCGGGTGCCACTGCATGCGCTGCAGCATCAGCAGCTGCTGCTGCTGCAGCAGCAGATGCGGCATCTTCCAGCTGCAGCGCAGCCAGCCATGTTTGCACCTCATTGGCAAGAATTGCATCAGTATCCTCAGCAGCAGCTGCAGTGGCTTCCCGGCGGAAGGCAGCAGCAGCGGCAGCAGCACCGCAGTGCTGCTTACAGAGGCAGGCAGCCACCGCCGCCGCCGCAGCAGCAGGAAAGGGCGGGACTACCTCTAGAGCAACAGCAAGTGAAGTTTTCCTTGCGCTCAGCTCACAAAGACTCTCAGATGACTGATTCTTATCCGCAGCAACAGCAGCAGCAGCAGCAGCTGCAATACCAGAGCTCCGGCCCACGTTCTTCCTCGCAACGCCTCTATCCTCACTCTCGTACGCCGCCGCCGCCGCCGCAGCCGCCGCAGCAGCAGCAGCGACAGCAGCAGCAGCAGCAGCAGCAAACGCAGCGGCCACGAAGCCGCGCTGATATGTAATGGCTGCCTTCTTTGAAGAGATGCTGCAGCAGTGGCGTAAGACTTTTTCTTTGCTCCTCCCCCCTCCCCGCTGGGGCCCCTTGGGGGCCCCTTGGGGGGCCCCTGGGGCCCTGTGGCTGGGTGTGAGTTGATGTGTCTACAGTTTGCGGCGAATTGCCAGCGTTGTTCTGTCGAGTTGTCTTTATTCTTCCGGACTAGATAGCCTGCTGCTGCGTGCTCTGCTCTAAGAAGCAGCAGCAGAAGCAGCAGCAGAAGCAGCAGCAGCAGAAGCAGCAGCAGCAGAAGCAGCAGCAGCAGAAGCAGCAGCAGCACGTTTTTCTCCGTCTGCATCGCCATGGTGCAGTGACCAGCCAGCGCTTTGTCTCGCCGGCAGCGTCGGGTGTTTGTTTCCTGTTCTCTTGTGTTGTAATTATTTAGTGCAGCAGCAAAATTCTGCGGCGCAGTGACTTGTAAATGGGCACGAGATGCCCTCTTGTCTCCTCGCGAGAGCCCACTGAGGTGTACGTACACCTCAGCACGCAGCGTCTCACTCCGTCTTGTCGGTTTGGTTGTTGACCCGGTTAAATTTCATTTAGTTTGTCACTGCTGCTGCTGCCGCGCTTCCCGCTGCAAGGGCGTCTCTGCCTGCTGCGCTGCTGCTTCTGCTGCTGTGGGGCCCCCGAGGGGCGCATTTCGTGGCTGCTGCTCCTGTATGCCCGCGCTTAGCTTGGCAGCCATAAGTGCAGCAAAATGGGTTAGCATTGTTTCACCGCGTGGCGGCTCGTTGTGACCAGTGGTCCACTACACTTCTGCCCCAGCAGCTACGTGGCTGCGAGGTGTGCGTACCGCCGCCTTAATCGCAAACCAGACGCAGCAGCAACAGGAGCAGCAGCAGGAGCAGCAGCAGCGGCAGCAAGTACACTGAAAAGCTCCAAAGCCCTGCTGCGTGCCTGGCAACAATTGGGAGTCAAGTGGAGCAGCCGCAGGCCGCCTGTGAAGAAACACCTTGTGTTCGGCAACAGCAGCAGAAGCAACACTAGCAACAGAAGTAACACTCGCAGCAGCAACACTAGAAGCAGGAGAGGCCAGCAGCAGGAGGACCCCCGCAGTAAGGCTCGCGCTGCAGGAAGGCGACAATAAACTCTACAGCCGCAGTGGCAGCAGCAGAAGCCAAGGAGCTTTGACAGCTGCTGCAGCCGAAAGCTTGGGGGCCATTTGGCCTTAAATCATTCCCACTGGAGGCACCTCACTGGCGCTGCTGCTGCTGCTGCTCGTGGCCCAGCCTCCTTGTGTTGGTGCTGCTTGATGTGCCGCTGCATACAAACCGTCAGGTTACTTTTTCTTTCACCCTCTGCTTCAATGAGCTAGTAAGCACAGAGCTCCTGTGCTGCGCAGGAGGAGAAGCTGGCTAGCTAGCCAGCCAGCTGCGGCTAGCTGGCAGCTAGCTGGCTCGTTTTTGTTTTCTTGAGCTGGCGGCACAGCAGCTTTGTGGCTCAACTTAAGAATTTAGGGGGCTGGGTTCGGCAGCAGCGAGGTCGCGTAGGTGCGTCGGCAGCTGCTGCTGCTTCAGAGGCTAAACAAAACCTTTTTATTTTTGATTTTTCCCCCTGTGAGCTGATATGAGCTGCGCTGATGCCCCGGAGGGGAGGCTAGGCTGTTGCTGCTGTTGCTGCTGACACTGCTGCTAAGAGTGCTCACCCTGCCAGGAGGTTCTGCCTGTCCCACTCCGCAGGGCGTTGAGCCTCAACAGAAGCAAAGCTGTCAACAGCAGAATTAATAACCCCACACATTGTCGCTGCAGCATAAGTCTCAGCGGCGGCAGCAGCAGCAGCAGCGGAAGCCCCAGGAGCAAGGCACAGCCGCAGCCGACAACTGCCAGAGACCAGCCCTACCCAATACTGCTAGCACATGCTGCTGTCTGAAACCCAAGAGGTTTTTAGTTTCTTTGTGATGCTGCAAAAGCTGCAGCAACGGCAGCGCCCGAGCAGCTCTTGGGCGAGCAACGTCACAACAGCAGCAGCGGCAGCTGCATCACTCGAAAGCTCAAGAAGGCTGCAGCATATGCTGCTTGTCTCCTTGTGGCCCTCAACATTCTCTGCAGCTCCTACGGCAGCAGCAGCAATTTACAGGGGCAGCTCTCCAGGCTGCCCATTGCCGTCCGTCCCTGGCGACGGCATCGGCAGCAGCTGCTGCAGCAGTAGCAGCTGCAGCACCATCTGCAACTGCAGCAGCAGCAGTCGGAGCAAGAGCTGCAGCAAGAGCACGTGGAGGAGCAGCTGCAGCAGCTTCGGCAGCTGCTACCTCCATGTGCGGCGACTCAGCCGTGCATTCTCAGCAGCGGCGGCAGCAACCCCGGTGACAGCACAAGCAGCAGCAGCAGCAGCTCCCTCAGTGGCAGTAGAGAGGTCAGCAGCAGCAATAGAAGCAGCAGCCGCGGCTGCTGCATCAAAAGTCACTTCGGTCGCAGGGGCCTCTGCCTCATAACCCAAGAAGTAGAAGCAGCAGGAGCATCAGCTGCCTTGCTTGAAGTGGGAGCAAGTTGTGAACCATGGACAGCCAAATGTCTCGTTAAAATTCAAGTTTGGCCCAAGCAGCAGCAGCAGCAACAGCAACAACAATGCTGAGTAGACAGAGCGTCGCATCCCATGGAGGGCTGGAGCAGCAGTGGTCTGCTGCTGCTGTTCCGGAGTCCTCCCAGAGCAGCAAAAGCAGCACCTTTGTGCAGCAGCAGCTCAGCAGCGAAAGCCGAGCACCAGCAGCAGAGCGATCCGCCGCACCCTCAACAGCTGCTGCTGCTGCTGCTGCTGCTGCACCAGCAGCAGCCGACAACAAGCAGCAGCAAAGCCTCTCCGTTTCGTCTCTTGTTGGAGCCCTCGTGCCGCTTCCTGTGCGCCCCCCGCCATCTTCCTCCTACAGCCATGCAAGCTTTTGTGCTGCTGCTCCTGCTGCTGCTGCTGCTTTGCCGCCGCTGGTGCGAATTGTTGCGGTGTCTGCTCTGCTGACATCTCCTACCTTTTGCTGCAGTCAGGCAATTTCGCAGGCTGAAACAGCGGCAGCAGCAGCAGCAGATGCGGCAGCAGAAACAGCAGCAAGAGCAGACGCAGTTGCTGCTGCTGCGGGGTCCTTCCAAAAGGGCAGCAGCAACATTGAAACCCCAGAGGACAAACAGCCGCAGCAGCAGGAAGCAGCATTTCTGGGGTCCGCTGGGGCGGAGACGGCAGCAGAAACTTCTGAGGAGTCTGGCGCAGCAGCAACAGCAGCTACAGCAGCAGCCACAGCAGCAACGCTGCAGCACACAGTGTCTGCTACCCTAACGGATGACTGGCTCACAAGAGGAGGGGAGAGCGCAGCAGCAGCAGCAGCGGCTGCTGCAGCTGGTGCTGGGGCCGGTGGGCCCTTCGTTTACGCTGCTGCGATCCATGACTGCGTCAGTATGTGCTGCAGCAGCAGCAGCACCAAGCAGCACGCTGCTCTGCGGCGCTGTGTCTTTCTGCTGCAGGTGCCGTGGCAGCTGACTGTGCGGTTCGTAGACAGAGTGACAGCAGCGCGATCGTTTGCTGCTGCTGCTGCTGCTGTGGCTCCTGCTGCTCCTGCCCCCCGCTGCAGCAGCAGCTGGGACGATGCTCTCCCCGCGTGGTGCAGAAGCAGCAGCAGCCACGACTTCCTTAAAACAATGCTGGGGCCGGGGGCTTCTCGGATGCCGTGTGAAGTGCGCTGTGTCCCGCTGCTGCCTGCTGCTGCTGCTGTAGGCAGCAGAGGCGACGGGGCACTGGAGGGCTGCTGCAGCAGCAGCTCGCAGCACTCGTCTCACCGCCTTGGCCTGGGAATCTGCAGCAACAGCAGCAACAACAGCTTGTCGTCTCTGGCTTCGGCCAGGGGCGTTCTGGGGCCTTTCAAGTGTGTTTGTGCTGCCTCCACCACAGCAGCAGCAGCAGCACACCAGCAGCACCAACAGGGCCTCTGCAGCATCCCCTTGTCTGCTCGAGCTCTGCCGCTGGTGCTGCAGGACCGCTGCAGCAGCAGCAGCTGCTGCTGCTCCAAGTCGTTACGTTTGGGCCCTCCAGGGGTACCCCGCCGCCCGCCGGACTTGTGCTACTGCTGCAGCGCAACGAACAGCAGCAACTGCTGCGGCGGCGTTCGCCTGCTGCAGCAGGCGAAACTGCTCTGCTGCTGCCAGCACACAGAGTACATTGTTGGGGCTGCTCTTTTGGGGCCTTCTGCCGTGTCCCCTCTCTTGCTGCTAGCTACTGGCTGCAGCAGCAACACCTACCTTTGGTCTTTGCAGTCTCCCACGCTACTTCAGCTATGCGGAAGGATATATATGCCGCCTCTGCAGCCGCAGCAGCAAGAGGATCAGCAGCAAGAGGTGCAGCAATACAAATACGCATTGCTAGAGAGTGACGAGAGGCAGCTGCAGCACTCGCGTGTTGCCTTCGGCTTTGAGTCTTCCTCTCCCTTTGCTGCAGTGCCGAACATGCATGTTCTCTTCGTGTATCTGCCCTGGTCTCATCAGCAGCAGCAGCAGCAGCAGCAGCGGTGCGTGGTAGGAGCCTTCATAGTAGATGGGCTGGCCAGGGGCGCCCGGGGTCTCCCTTCGCTGCAGCAAGTAGCAGCAGCAGATGAAATTCCCCTTTCGTCTTTTCATGTTGATGATATATCGGAGGTCGTTCTTGCGGAGCCCAACCTTTGGAGTGAGTTCGTTACTGCTGCTCCGGCTGCTGCAGCATCCCGCTCTGCTGCTGCTGCGCCACTCCTGCTGCAGGTCTTGTTGCTGCTGCGGTTGATACAGCTTCTTCTGCTTCTGCTGATGAAGGCTCTTGTTGCAGCTTTTCCCTAACGTGCCGCGTCCATAAACCGTGCTGCTTTTCCTGCGAACGCAAAAGCTGCTGCTGCTGCTGCTGCTGTTCGCTTTGCTGCCAACTGCCACTGCCGCCGCCAAGTGTTTTCAGTGATCTTCTGCAGAGCGCTTGCTCTGAGGTGTTGCTGCAGCTGCTGCTGCTGCTGCTGCTGCGGTGTACCTGCAGGTGACATGATGTGCATCTCCGTCTCATCCGCCTCAGAGCTCGACAACTTACTGGGGGCTCCTGGGGCTGTCTTGGGAGCTGCTGTCTTCTCAGGGGTTCCATTAGCTGCGGGCAGCATTGCAGCAACTCCAGCCTTGCTGCATGCTTCGCTGCCCGCGGGCTCTGGCCTTCCTGCAGCAGCAGCAAGTGCTGCTGCTGCACCCGCAGCGGAGACTCCGCAGCTGCTGTGGGGCGCCCTCAGCGGCTTCCTCTCCTGTCTTATTCCCCCCTGTCGCATGCGAGTGCTCACGGCGAAGGGGGACGAGCTGCTGCTGCTGCTGTCTCCGGTGCTGCTGCGCATTCCGAAGGACAGCAGCGGCAGCAGCAGCAAGGCGCTGCAGGTGCGCTACGCAGTAAGGTGTCTGGCAAGTTCCTCGCTGCTGACTGAGCTGCCCGCGCTGCGCTGCTTCTGCAGTGAGCAGCGGCAGCAGCAGCAGCAGCAATGTCCTGTTGAAGACCTTGGGGTTCTTGAGGGAGACACGGAAACCTTCACTGGCAGCAACGCGAGCAGCGTGGAAGCAGAGGAGGGCGGCAGTCCCTCGGCAGCTGCAGCAGCAGAAGCCTCCGCTGCAGCAGAAGGTGCTCCTGGAGCGGCGGTGTCTGCAGCAGCAACAGCAGAAACAAAAGGCGGGTTGCTGTTCCGGGGATTCTCGTCGCTTCCGCAGCAGGCTCTGGATCTCGCCTGGTCTGCGGAGACAGGTTTGCTGCTGCTGTGGTCTAGTGAGGGGCTTCGTGGGGGTGTTTCTCCCTTGCTGTCTCTCCAGTCAGCCGCGCTGCAGCAGCAGCGGCAATTACTGCTGCAGCAGCCGCTGCAGCTGGGCTGCAGCCCTGCCTCAACAACACACCTGCCAGTGGTGTCTTGGGCGTCGTTCCTGCCTGCATCTTTTCTCGCGCTGCTGCAGCATCAGCATCAGCAGCAAAAGCAGTTTCAGCAGCAGCAGCAGCAGCAGCGACAGGAAGGGCAGCTGCTTCTGCTGGCCCCAACGGGGCGTTTGCCGCTTGTACTTTGTGCTGCAGCAGACGGGCGGCAGCTGCTGCTTCTCCAGGTTGACCCTGCTGCCTCAGTTCTAGGGGTGCAGCAGCTGCAGCTGTTGCTGCTGCACCCAGAACGCGGGGAGCCCGTAGGCCACATGGCGGACCTAAACATGGAAGCCATTGTGAATCTTTTCACTGCATCGCAGCAGCAGTTTTATGAGCAGCCGCAACATATGCAGCAGCAGCAGCAGAAGCAGAGTCAGCAGGCCCTGCTGCTGGCTGCGCAAATTGTGGAACTGCCCCTTGCTTTGGCCTTTCCTGACGCAACGACTTCTTTGCTGCTGCTACTGACTGTTTCGCTTCCTCCCAGGCAGCGGCAACAGCAGCAGCAGCAGCAGCAGGTCGCGGAAAGGGCTCTCTGGTTACTAGTCTTTGCAGTCGATTCACGCTGCTGCATCGTGCAGCAGCAGCAGCATTCGCACAAAGTAGAAGCAGGAACCGGGTTAGCGCTTTCGCTAGTTGGAGCCTGGAGAGATGCGCGCGGGGCTGCAGCAGGAGCAGCAATTGGTGCTGCTGCAACAGGTGCCTTGAACTTCAGCAGCAGCAGTTTCTCGCTGGAGGGCCACCAGCTGCCGCTGCAGCAGCAGACAGCTGCTACTGTTTTGACCCCGGAGCGCCTCGCTATTGTGTCTCCATTTTGGCTGCAGGAGGAGCGGCTTCAGCAACAGCAGCAAGTGCTTCGGTCCCATTCGGTGCCACTTTTGTTGCCGCCGAAGGAAAAGACAGTGTGCAATGCAGCACCAGCAGCAGCAGCAGCAGCAGCGGCCTCACCAGAGCATGCTCTGATTTACTGTCTGCGTATCTTCGCCTCGCCAATCGGCAAAAGGCCCTCAGCCACAGATGCAGCAGCAAGTTCAGCAGCAGCAGGAGCAGCACTTTCGCTTCTGGCAGCTGCCAGCATCCCTGGAGAAGGAAGCCGCATTCGTGCAGTTTCTTTGCAGCCCGACAGTCTCGTGCTGCAGTGCAGCAGGACGCTTGCTGCTTTCGTCTTTTCCCTTCGCGCCCTGCCGCTGCTGCTGCCGCCCTGCGCCGCATGCATCGGCAGCAGCAGCAGCAGCAGCAGCGAGTGGGAGCAGCGAGTGGATGAGGGCCTCATTAGCTTGCTGATGCTGCAGCCAGACGCATCGCTTTCCGCTGTCTTGCAGCGCCCAGGTGCTGCTGCCTCGAGTGCCTCTTTTGCTGCTGTGGCATTGGCCGGGGACCAAGCAGGAGATGTCTCTTCTAGCTTGCTTCCAGATGGCCGTCTGGCTGTCCTGGTGAAGTCTCAGCAGCAGCAGCAGCAGAGTGCGGCTGCTGCTGCTGTCGCTCCATATGACCACATTGCAGTGTACCTGCAGGACAGGGTAAACGCTGCAGCAGGAGGTGCAGCACCAAGGGAGTGGCTTTGTGTCTTTGCTTCTTCCCGAAGCAGCAGCAGCAGCACTGCGTGTGTATATGATGCTTGGTGGTCAAGTGATGGCTCGCTGCTGGTGCAGATGGAGGCGCCGGGTGCTGCAGAGAGCAGCAGTGCCCGCAGCAGCAGCAGCAGCAACTCGTTTTTCTGCTTCCGACAGCTGTCTGGGGAGCTGCTCACTGCAGCACGAGGAGTAATTCCCGTGGCTGTGTCGGCAGGAAGCGAGGTGTGGGGCCCTGCTCCTGCTGCTGCTATTGAAGCTTTTCGCGCAGAAAGAGAAGCAGCAGAGCAGCAACAGCAACAGCAAGTGCACGCGATGACTGCAGCAGCAGCAGCGATCAATGTGGCCATGGCACGTGCAAGGCAACAGCAGCGCCAGCAGCAGCCCGGAGCTGCTGATGTGCAGCAGATGCAACAATTGCAGCTGCAGCAAAAGCTAGATGCCCTAGCCAGTGTAGACCGGACAACGCAAAATCATGGAAGCTGCTGCATGTACAGTCCAGAGGTGCTGCAGCAGCTGCTGCGCTGTGGCTACGCAGCAACAGCACGCTGGCTGCTGCTCGTGCTGCTGCGGTGTCTGCTAGCTGCGGGGCTGCCCCCGACTCTTCCAAAGCAGGAGCAGCAAGAGGCAGCAGCAGAAGCAGCACGGCCTGATGCCCCCTCCAGTTTGGAATCCTTAACCCCCGACGCCGAACACCATTTGGCGTCGGAGGCAGGGGAGGTTTGCTGTTGCATATGTGGGGCTGCCATCGCTGTGGGGCCAGCAAGAGCAGCAGCAGGAGCAGCAGCAGGAACTGACGGCGCTGCTGCTGCTGCTGTCTGTGCTGACTGCCAGCCAAAGACGGGCTGCGAGCTTGCGCGGCTGCTGCAGCAGGCCATGGCTGCAGCGGGGTGTCTTTTGACAGATCTAATCTCGCAGCAGCAAGCAGCACAATACCAGCAGGACCTGCTGCAGAATCAGGAGCTCACTGCAGCAGAACAGCACAGGTTGCTGCAGCAGCGCCGCTGCTGGCCCAGAACTTCTGCGGCATACGTACAGTGGGCACAGCGCTGCCTTCCCTCAAGCCTGCAGCCTTCGCCTGCTGTTGCTGCTGCAGCAGGTGCTGTGGCAGCTGCAGCAGGCCCAGAGAGTCACCTCACACAGTCACTTTTGAGTGCTAGAGGTGACTCGCTTTGGCAGCAGCAGCAGCAGCAGCAGCAGCAGCGGGACTGGATGGATCGCGTAGGCGGTGGTTTGTCGGGTTCCTTGTTTCCAGCTGCAGCAGCAGCATCAGTCACAGCAGGAGCTGCAGCAGCAACAAACAGCCGGGCTAAGCCTGCTGCTTTTGGTCTTTTTGGACCCGGGGATGAGGGGCCCCTTGGAGCTTCTGAAGATGACCCATTTGATGTCAGGGCACTTCTGGGTCTTGACACTTCAAAGGAGGCCCCTGGGGATACTTCTCAAGAATCATCTGAAGAGGTTTTTGAAGACCGCCCCGCTGCACCAGCTGCTTCAGCGGCAGCAGGCGGCACAGCAGCAGCAGTCAGCGAGGCTGCAGCAGCAGGGCCACAACAGGCAGCGCCGACAGCAGCAGCTGCAGTTCTCATGGCACCTGTCCGCGCTTTGCCCACCAACGATGAATATGAGCAGCTGCTGCAGCTGCTGCAGCTGCCGCTTCCGGGTCTCGCGCTGCCGCCACAGAAGCAGCTACTGCTGCGGTGTTTTATTCGCGTGCTGCAGCAGCTCGACCAGAAGCAGCAAGAGACCTTGCGAACAGCTGCAGCTGCAGGTTTGGCTGCAGACTTCCCTGCTGCTGCCGGCACTGCAGCAGCTGCAGCTGCAGACGTTGCTGATGCAGCGAGGCAATTCGCAGCAGTAGGGGACAACAATCACAGTAACGACGCCAACACAAGCAGCACGCCCAACGACATTGAGGCTGCTGCACGGGAAGTTGCTGCTGCTGCTGCTACAGCAGCGAAAGCCGCAGAAGGCAGCCTACAGAGCTGCAGCACGGACAGCAGCCGCCAGCGATTTTACACGGCGTTGCTGTTGCTGCGGGTGTGTCGCCGTTGTATCTGCAGCTGCTGCGCATCACCTTTGCTTCCGTGCTGCTGCTATCTCAGCTGCGCCATTGCTGCTCTTGCTGTTCACTGCATGCCAATGGGGCTGCGCAGCTGTGTCTGTGTGTGTCTCAAGGAAGCAGAGCTCGCCGTTGCTGAGCAGCACAAGCAAATGCAGCAGCAGCAGCAGCAGCAGCAGCAGCAGCAGGCTGCCCAGGAGCGACAGCAGCAGCAGCTGCAGGGAACCTCTGGCTCAACCTTCTCCTCCCCGAGCAGCTCATCTTCTTTCGGGCGGCCGCCCCTCTCTGGTGCTGCTGCGCCCTCTGCTGCTGCTGCTGCATTGCCAGCAGCAGCACTGCTCAGCAGCGAAGACATCTGCTGGTGCTTACACGCTGCTGCTGAAGAAGACTTGATGCAGCAGGTGGTGCAGCAGGCGAGAGAAGCCCATCCTGAGCGCCGCCTTGTGTGGCCTCATCTTCGCTTGGTATTTCAGCTGCTTATTCACTTCTGAGATTTTGATGCAGCTTGTTTGCTGCTTTTGCTGCTGCTGCGCTTCCTTCGTTCCTCCTCCTGTACTCTTCACGCATGTCTCGGTTTTGCTGCTGCTCCACGCTGCTGCTGTAGAAAAACCTGCTTCGATGCACCTTCTTACTGCGAGTTCCTGTGTTTTTCTGCTGCTGCTGCTGCAGCGGGGCGTTGGCTTCTGGCTTAGAAGCCCCTCTACTGTCCGGCAGCTCTGCGACTTTCTATTAGCCGATGCTGTCCAATTAGCAGCTGCAGAGCAGCAGCAGCAGCAGCAGGGATCGCTCAACTTTCGGGGATCTGGGGAGGAGGGAACAAGTCCGCTTCCCACGGGGGCATCCAGTGCTACTGCTGGGGCGGGGGCTGCTCAGCAGCAGCAGGGGCCTTCAGCAGCAGCAGCAGCAAGCCCTTCTGACCTAGTGGCCTTGTGGGCAGCTGTGAGCGGGAAAAAGAGCCTAATTGTGGCTTCTTTCAAAGCCCAAGGGAACGCAAAGGTAAGGAGGCAGCCGCTGCAGCAGCAGTTGGTCGATTTTGAAAATTTTCAATGTTTCATTGCTCTTGTTTTTTCTCGCATTTCTCTTTTTCTATGTGCCTCTGCTCTTGCATATTTGTTTAGCTGCATTCCTCTGCTGCGATAGTTTCTCTCTTGCCATTTTAAGTTTTCCATATTTTGTTTCTGGCCGCCTCCGTATATACTTTCTGTGAGATTTCTGTGTTTCTGTTTGGCCTCCGCGGGCTCCATGCATTTGGGGTTTTGCTGCAGTGTTGTGATTTGCTGCTGCTGCTGCTGCTGCGCGGGCCTGCAGGTGGTGGAGTTTCTGCAGTCCGACTTCGCAGACCCCCGCTGGCGCTCAGCAGCAGAACGGAACGCCTTTCGCCTTTTGACTCACCGCCGGCCTTTTCTGGCTCTGGCCTTCTTTTGCCTGGCCTGCAGCTACAGGGAAATCGCGGATGTTTGCTGCAGGTGACTGCAGCAAAGACACCCCCCGCACTTTCGTGCTGCTGCTGCTGCCCGCGATTGCCGTGGTTTTATTGCTGCTTAGGGTCGTAATGCTGCTGTACGATAGACGTGCTGCTGCTGCCGATGTATTTGCTGCTGCTGGTGATGATGAGGTGCCTGCCGTTGCAGCAGCAGCAGTTGATGCTGCTGCTGTACGCGCAACCTACACAGCAGCAAGAAGCAGCTGGATTCTGGCTATCGCTTGGCTTAAAGGTGCAGCAGCAGTTGCTGTTTCTGCTCTCTGCTAGCCGGACACTGCTATGAATCAACTCCTCAAGGTGCTGCTGCTGCTGCTGCTGTTTCTGCGCTGCAGGCTGCTGACTGACACACAGCTAGCCCTCTTCTTGTGCAGAGTCGGTGCGGCCGTTTCCTCTCCCGGGGCGCCTCCTTTAGGGACAGATTATAACACAGGGGCCCTCCAGCAGCAGCAGCAGCAGCAGCGGAATGCGGCTGCAGCATCAGGCAGCAGGAGCGACTCCTCAGGTCTTGCTGCTGCTGCTGCTGATGGTGCTGCTGCTGATGCAGCCGAAATACGCGGAGACTTTCCACCAAGTCCACTGGCATGTGATGGCTCTCCTGCTGCTGAGTACAGCAGAGTGCTGTTGCAGAGGCTGCTGCCGACTGCAGCAGCAGAAGGGGACATCTGGCTGCGCTTTTGCTGCTACTGGCTAGCAGGGCACTACTCGAAAGCGTTTGACGCTCTTCTGCCTCCTTATGCTGGGGCCCTGCAGCAGCAGGAGCAGCAGCAGCCCCCGCAGCAGCCTCAGCAGCAGCAGCAGGAAGTGCTGCCCTTTAACCCGCGCACGTACTTGCAAGGCGTTCAGCAGCAGCAGCTAGGGAGGCCGTCAAGTCCTTTCGGCAATTTGCCGGCAGAAAGAACGGCGTCAGCAGCGGGAGCAGCCTCAGGAGGAGGAGCAGCAGCAGCAGCAGCAGAAGATGATAGGGTGTATGAGGGAGGCTGCTGGCGTGTCGCCTCTCCTTCTCTGTCTCTCATTCTCTTTCGAGCAGCAATTAAGCAGACTTTGCCGATGCGTCGAGCGCAGCAAAAGCACAAAGAGAAACACCTGGAGCAGCAGCGGCAGCAGAGTTCCGTACTGGAGTCTTTCTATGGAGTTGACGACAGCATGAGGAGCAGATGCACCAGCCGCACGAGCAGCAGCAGCAGCTGCAGCAGAAGCAGCAGCAAGAGGTGGGGCAGCCCTATTGAAGGCTCAAGGACAGCTTTTGCTGCAAGTGGCAGCCGCAGCCGCGGCAGAAGATTCAGCAGAACTGATAGTTTCTTTGCGTCGCTCCGAGATCTTCCTGCAGCAAACAGCGGCGACAGCAGCAGCAACAACAACAACAGCAGCAGCAGGGCGAGGAAGTGCCGTATTTGCTGGTGGGGTTTCGTGGATCCAGCAGGTGCAGCAGAAAGTGACATGTACCTCTTGAGCTGTCTATACACTCGAGACAGGCAGCCATTCCTCGCTGCTGTTGCTGCTGTCTCGCTGCTGTCGCTGCGGGCCTCCCGCTGCGCCACTTTGAAGGCCTTAGATGAAGTATTTTCTCCAAGTAGTTCAGAAGAAGCCCCTGAGCAGAATGCGCTGCTGCCAGACGCGGCACTTCCAACGATTTGGGGGGCTCTGCATGCGTTTGCTGCTGCTGCAGCCCCACCCTTGCTCTACTCTGCTGCGCTGCAGCAACAGCAGCAGCACCAGGGACCCTCAGCAGCATCTGTTTTCAGGCTCCTCGACTTGCAGCCAAGTCTGCTGCTTCTGCTGACAGCTCCCGCGTGGCAGCCCTCAGTTGGCGCCCATCGCTGCAACGACAGCGACAACAACAACAGCAGCAGCAGCAGCAGCTTAGCTTCGTTGCTGCGAAACAGCACGGACAGCCAACACCCACAAGTTCTGTGTCTGCCCACTGACGTTACTGACAACGCCTTGCTGATGCTGCTGTCATCTTTGGATTTGACAATTGAGCTGTACAGTCAGTCCGCGCTGCTGCTGCTGTCGCCGCTGCTGTCAGGCATCCGCTGCAGCAGGAAAGCGCTGCTGTCTCACTGCCCCTTCCGTCCTTGCTGCAGCTCGTCAGCAGCAACAGCAGCAGCAGCAGCAGAGGAAGTGCAGGAGGCCTTGTCGCTCCCAGCCGAAGCCAACACCACAGAGGGCCCCAACAGCGGCTCCAGCACTCCAGTCTTAACACCAAGAAGTCAAGAACTGCTGCGGGGGTCAAGTGGGCGTTCGCTGCAGCAGGCTGCTGCTCGTCTTTCTCTGTCGTTGTGCCTTCGTGTTGCAGCTCCTGCTGCTGCTGCGAAGAGAGTGGCAAGGTGCAGCAGCAGCTGCTGCGGCAGCAGCAACCCCAACCACAGAAGCAGCAACGGCGGCTCGGCCACGCGTCTACAGTGCCCATGGGCAGTGCATTCTGCGCTGTTTGATTTGCTGCAGCAGCAGCAGCAGCGGCGCGGGGCGCGGCGCCTGCTGGCAGCAGCAGCAAAAGGTGCATCGCCTTCCTCCTCTTCACAGTCACTTGCTGCACCGGAGGGCCCTCTTCCTGGAAGCTCCTTAGAGACGGAAACAGACAGTGTCTTTGTTGCTGTCTCCTCTCAGCTTGTTGCGCTGGCTCACGCGCAGCTGCTGGCAGCAGCGGAAGCAGCAGCAGATGCACGCAGAATTACTGCTGCTGCAGCTGCACTGCAGAACCAGCAGCAGCAGGCCCTGTACGAAGAGGGGTCCTTCAGCATCTCTGCTGCCGTGGCAGGCCTTATACTGGTGCCATCCTGCAGCACTTCAGCTGCTGCTGCTACTGGGGATCCAGCTGCCGGTGCTGCTGCTGCTGCAGATGACTCCTCTTCCCACTTCGGCATGCCGGTGCTGCTCCCGCTGCTGCTGCAGCTGCTGCGAGACACCCTGGAGATGCCGTCTATACACCCCAAAGTCTTGGGAGTACCAGCGCTGTATTGTTGCCTGAGCTCCTGCGTCAGCGAGCTGCAGCAACAGTTGCAGCAAGAGTGTTGCTGCTGCAGCTGCAGCAGCTGCTGCACTTGCAGCTGCAGCAGCGACAGCGGGTGTGGAGAAGCCGCATTGTCGTTGCTGGAGCTGCGGCGGCTTTACAGTGTCTCAGCTGCCTGCTGCTGCGGCTTGGCCTTGAGCTTGTTTTCGTGTATGCCTTCTGTCTTCTCCTCCGACAGCAGCATGCTGCTGCAGCACATGCCGTCCGCAGCAACTGCGTCGGCAGCAGCAGCAGCCGCAGCAGCGCCTCTGGGCTCGGAGGGTCCCGCATTGAAGAGAAGCAGCAGCAGCATTGGCAAGCCACATGCAGCTGTTTTGTCTAGAAGCAACAGCAGCAGCAACAACAACAAATGCGAGGAGGACAGAATGCTGTCGCTAGCACATCAGGTGGCAAAACTGCTGCAGTTGATTCTTTCCAGGCCTCGATGTCTGCTGCTGCAGCAGGATGTGCTGAAGCTGCTGCAGCAGATCCTGGAGCCGCGCTGGGTCGACATTTCCCACACAAATGCAGCTGCAGCCGAAAGAGGAGGGGCAGCAGCAGCAGCAGCAGCATCAGCGCCTGCATTTGCTCTTGCTGCTTGTGTTGCAGTTAGAGTGTTCGAGTTTCTCGTGGAAGCAACACAAGCTGTACAAACAGAGACACAGCGCACAGCAGTAGCATTGCTGGGGCAGCAAGCTGTGCTGCTGCAGCAGCACCAGCAGCAAGCGCAGCAACAGCAATATGAGCGGCAGCCTACAATCTCTAATATGCCTCTGCAACATCAACAGCAGGACTCTACAACGGCAGCACGTGCAACAGCAGCGGCAGCAGCAGCAGCAGCAGCAGCAGAAGAGGCATACTCCCTTTGCAGCAGCTTTTATTGCCTGAACTCGTCTCTTGTTGAGTTTCTTGGGACACAGTTGCGGCCTGTCTTCATGCGCTCTCTGCTGCCTGCTGCTGCAGGGCTGCTCCCGCTGCTATGCGACTCGCACACGCACTCCACTTCAGCAGCAGCAGCAGCAGGCTCAGCAGCAGCACGGCGCACGTCTATGCTAAGCGCAGCAGCAGAGAGCTGGGGAGGAAGAGGGATGGGGTGTTTGTGGGACGACCTCTGCTGCTGCAGCCGCATGCAGTGGGCGCTGCAGCAGACATCCTTTCTCCCGCTGCAGCAGCTGCCGCCACCCGCGCTGCTGCGTCCGCTGCTCCACAGAAACTCTCTGTTGCAGGCAGTGCGCCACCTTACCAACAGGCAGCAGCAGCAACACCACCACCACCACCATCACCATGTAGACCACCACCAGCAGCAGCAGCAGCAACAGAAGCAGCAGCATGTGCACCCGCACAGTCACAGCAAAGACGGGCAAGGCGAGGATCACGTGTTGCAGCTAGACGAGCTGCAGGAGCAGATTGAGAACAAGCATTTGCAGCAGCAGCAGCAACAGCACTTTGGTCCTGATGCAGCACACCACCATAATGCAGCAGCAAGGGAGCGGCACGCCGCAACACCTTCCTGCAACAGCCCCACGCCCAGGGGCTCCAGTAGGCGTTTCAGCAGCTGCTTCCCCACCCAAGATAAGGGGCAGCAGCAGGAGAACCAGCAGCAGCAGCAGCACCAGCAGGTCATTTCAAGCCGTGTAGCGGAGCACATGTTAGCAGCCACCTGCCTCCCTGCTGTTCCTGTTGTTGCTGCTGCACTTTTCCCTGGGTGGCTCGTGCAGGCTGCATGCAGCAGCAGCAACGGCAGCAACGCCTTCGAGGTGGTAAGGCACAGCCACAACCTGAAACCACTGCAGCAGCAACAGCAGCAGCAGCAGCAGCGACAGCAAGAGGACGGCAGCATAGCTGCCTTAAGCTCGCTAGTACAGGACTGGGCCGTGCTGCCGCTTGGAGCGTTATTGGGGTCAGTTATTGCTGCGTGCAGCTGCAGCAGCAGCAGCAGACACACCATTCCTGCTGGCCTTTCTGTATCTGGGGATGTTGTGGCGAGTGTATCTACATCTGAGGGGCCCCCAAGGGGCCTCCGCTCGCTATCAATGCCCTTGTCGCTGCTTGGGCTGGCTACCCAGAACAGCATGCGTTGTGCTGCTGCAGTTGCAGCAGCAGCAGCAACAGCGGAGGGTCGGTATAGAGACGCGGCACGCCGCGTCAAGTACCAGCCGCTGCAGCAGCAAGGCGAGCAACAGCAGCAGACGGAAGCAGCAGCACACCTGCCGCAGCTGCTGCAGCTGCCTTTAGTCAGCGACATCTGCGGGCCTGGTGGCGCCTTCCCTTGCTTGCTGCGGTCTCACCGGCCTTTGTACGCGGTAGGAGCAGCAAAAGAAGCGGCAGAAACAGCAGCAGCATCAGGGCTGAGCAGGGAAGGCAGCGAAGACTGCGTGCTGCAGCAACAACAGCAGCAGCAACAGCTGCAGCAGCTGCTGCATAGGCAGGCCGGCGCTGTGGGAGTGGCCGAATGGGTGGGGATGCTGCTTTCCCGCGACGTCTCCCTTTACACGGTAACTCAAACTTCACGCCTGTGCGCGTACTCTCGTCTGCTGGCTCGTGTCACCGACAGCAGCAGCAGCAGCAGCAGCAGCAGCAGCAGCCCCGTATTTCCGTACGGAGTCTTCTCCCCACTATCTGCCATGCGGTCAGCCTTTGAGTTCACAGGAGTTATTGCTGCACATCCCTTTTTGCCCATTTTTGCTGCGCTGCTGAGGGCCCCACAGGGACAGACAGAAAAGGGGGGGCCTTCAGTGATAACTCCTGTGCTGCGGCCATTTGGTTCGGGGGCTCGGAGCCTTCCGAGGTCCCCTCCCGCAGCTGCTGCAGCTGCTGCAGCTGTTGCAGCAGCAGCAGGTTCTCGTGCTGCAGCTGCGGACTCTGCAGCAGCAGCAGCTGCGGCAGCAAGTGACAAAAGCGGCTCAGACGTGCAGCGCCTCGACACTTTAGAACGAAGTGCAACCGAAGTCCACGAGCAGCCGCTGCAGCAGCAGCCACAGCAGCTGCAGCGACAGCAGTCTGGAAAGAAGGGACTGCACGCGCTTCCCTTGCTGTTGCGTTTGCAGCAGCAGCAGGTCGGGCCTTCCGGGCAAGCGCGGGCAGTTGCTGCAAGCTTGGCTGCAGCAGCAGCAAATGAAGTGACATGTGCTGCGTGGGTGCCCCAAGGAGATAGTATCCTTGTTTGTGATGCAGCAGGATGGGCCTACCTCTTTTGTTTGCTGCGAGGTCCTCTGCTGTCCCCTTCTCTCGTAGCAGAAGCCCTAAGCGCCTCTGCTGCAGCAGCAGCTGCTGCTGCGCAAGCTGTTGCATCTGCTACGGCTAGGCCTGCTGCAGCAGACAACAGCTTGACGCCTGCGAGCCGCAGCAGCAGCACAAATATGCGCAGCAGCAACAGCGCCAGCTATGATCTGCAGCAGCAGCGCGCCTGCAGGCCGGCACTTTGCTGGAGGCCCCACACTGTGACGCAGCAAATAGCAGCAGCTGATGGCAGCGGCGCCTTTGCTGTCACACTAGGCGTTGGGCTGCCGCAGCAGCTGCTGCAGCAAGACACTTCATTAATTGCGGGTGCTGCTGGACCCCGAAGTCTGCTGCAGCGTTTGGGATCGGGGGAGACTGCATGCGGCGACACAGGGGCTCCTTTTGTTGCGGGCAGCAACCACTGCAGCAGCAGCAGCAGCAGGGGGGCATTGTTCAGAAGCAAATTTAAAAAGAGGCCCAATGCCCTGAAGCTGTTCGGGAGCCTTCGCACGACAGCAAAGGAGGGCGTTGTCTCTCGCCTGCTGCATTCTCGCTTCTTCGCCTTCAAATTTCCTGCTGCTGCAGCGTTGCAGCAGCAAAGACGGGATGCAGCAGCAGCACCAGCAGCTCCTTTTGTCGGGGGGGCCCCCAGGGCCCTCTCGTGGAGAGCGCGGGCCTTTAGAATTTCCTCCAGAGGCTCTCGTGGCCTTCTGCGGGGACTTGGGGGCCCTATGTCTGCTAATGGCAGCACCAAGGGTGCTGGTGCTCCCGCGAAGCAGCGGCAGCAGCGCCCGCAGCAGCAGCAGCAGCATGCAGACGGGGAGGAAGATGAAGAGGCTTGGTTCGACTCGGCTGCATGGACTGCCAGTCTGTGGGGTTTGGGATCTTCTGCTTCTGCAGACTGTGAAGGCTCTGCAGAGAGCTCAGGTGTACATACACCTGACAGCAGCTCCCGCTGCAGCATGCCAGCTATCGAGGGCCCCTGCTTCGGCGTGTGGCAGCTAACGAGTGTGGGGCCCTCAGGGGGCCCCCGCCTGATTTCTGTCATAACTTGTGACGATTTGCTGCAGACGCGCGCCCGTCTTGCCAACTCTGCTGCTGCTCCTGCTGCAGGAAAAGCAGCAAAAAAGCAAGCAGCAGCAGCCGGCGAAGGCAGCACCTGGTCCGTCGAGGCCACGCACATCCCCACGTGCTTCTGCATGGCTGTGCTTCAGGAGGGCCCTGCCTGCTGCACTGCGTGTCTTGCAGCAGCAGCAGGGTGTTCAGGCAGCTGCTGCAGCAGCAACCTGACATCCACCTGCTGCGGGGGCAGCTGCGCTGCGCTGCGCTGCGTTGTTTACGGTGACACAGAGGGCACAGTGCATGCAGTGGACTTGGGGCTTGAAGAAGAAGTACTGCGCTGGGAAGCCCACAGGGGGTCATCTATTGTTTCTGTGTCTGTCTCCCGAGCTTCGGGCTGGGGCAGCGCAGCACCGGAGGTGTGGCTCGTTACTGCTGCTGCTGCTGGCGTAGGCGGCAGCAGCAGCAGCAGCGAGGGAACCGTGCTGCGCTGCTGGTCCATAGTGGGGCTAGGAGAGGGGGGCCCCGTGCTGCTGCATCAGCTGCATGTAAGTGCCGACGCAGTGATGCCTCCTGGGGTATCGGCCCGGCTCTCAGCGGCTCCGGGCCGCGGCGCAGCAGCAGCAGCAGCACCCGCAGCAGCAGCAGCAGCAGCAGGGGGCTCGAACGCACTCGCCCGCCTCCTCGGAGCCTACAAAACAGCGGACACTGAGGAACACGACAAAGACCAACAGGCCACAGTGTTCAGCTTGGGGGGCCGCAGCAGTTTGGTTGTAGAGGGTGGCGATATGCTGCTGCTGGCTAGGGTTTAAGAAAAAGAAAAAGCCAAATCTCCAAGAAAGCTGACAGGCAAATGGCTTCTGTCTGGGTTTCGCAGGAAATGCACAGGGCTCAGTGCACAGCCAGCGCGCAGCTGCTGCAGTCAGAGTGCTGCTGCGTTCAGCTGCTGCATGCATGCACGGAATGGCCCAGCTTGCTTTGCAGCAGGGCTGCGCAAGGCCACTTAGAAGCGTCAGAGCTACATTTAGGAACACCACAGCTGCTGCTGCTTCGAATAGTTGCAGCAGCAGCAGCAGAAGCACTTTCAGCTTCGTGCTCGGTTTTATGTTTGCGGGGACCTCTTCGTTTGTCTTTATATCTAGTATTTGCAAGTGCTTCACAATTATACGTAGAGTTATGGGGGGCCTTCTGGTGGTGTGGGGCTTCTTCCCACGGCTTATTTGCCGTATCCTTCGCGTAGCTAATTAGCTGCAGCGAGGTGTGGCTGCCTGAGACAAGATAAAGCTGTCTACAGTTAGCTGCAGTTAGCTGTACTTCATTGTGGCTGGGGCTCGACAAGTTCTTTTTGCGGCGGCTCCGCTCGACTGAGTACCTCCTAATTCGAAGTTTGTACCTTATTTATGAATATCAGGACTGCTTTTGCAGCTATGAATTTGTTTTACAAAAGCGGATGTTTATTCCTCTCTGAGGAGGCGCGGGGCCAATAGGCCGCGCCAAGACTCTACGTACTAATTAGTGAGAGACAAATAGCATGTGAAAGACGCTACCCGACTTCATTGAAAGAAACCAGTTCAGGTTTCAGAGTGCTTAGCTTCTAGTGCCCTAGAGAATCTACCCTTTACCCAAATACTGCCTTTTGCAGAACTGGGTCCCAGCAGCCCTAAAAACGGCCTCCGGCCTCGTTTAAAAGTCAAAATTTACCGGATTTCTCTGTTTCAACTCTTTAAAAAGTCAAAATATTCAAAACTTGGCTGTCTGTGTACCCTGTAGGTGCTGGAAGTGCAACAGCGTGGTAACTGAAGGCGCCTGGGGGGCGTTGAGTGTGGAGTCGCTCACGGGGTTCAGAGCTCACTGAAATATATTTCTTTTAAGCTGTTGAAAAGTATAAAGCAAATTATTCGATAATTTCTTCCCTCATATTTCACTGACATGGCCTATAGGGCCACCTGGTGGGCGCGCCGCTTGGGCTGGGGCGGCGGCGCGCGGCGGCGCCTCTCCGTCTATCTGCCAAGTGAAGGACCAGAGGAAGCAGCAGAAATCTACAAGCACAGTTGTCGAACTCATCTTTTATTAGATACATTATTTGGCTTTTGATTAATAGGTTGCTGTCGGTTTTCTTGGGCTGCAGTCTACGTCGGCACGTTGTGACCACTGGTCCGCTCTCCAATCGCCAACGCCCATCATTGGGCTAAACACCTCTCCAGCGCCTTATCTTGCCGGCAAACTTGGAGAAGAATAAACAGGTTAGCAAGGCTGCCTTCAGCCCCTAAGTAAGCTGCAGGACCTTTCTACATTTCAAACAAGCTCAGCAGAATTTCCAAGACCCACGCCTACCAAGCAATCAGTAGACCCTGACAGAATGCTTGTTTCTCTGTGTCCTTTGCATGCTGGCTTTTCTCTTGGTCGCAGCACAATGGTGGTCTTGAGGCGCCGCACGCAGCAGCTGCTGCTGCTGGGCACATTGGGGCTCTACGTGGCTGCTGCTGTTGCTTCTGCTGCTGCCGACGACTCCACCAGAGCGTTGCTGGAGGCGGAGCGGGCCGGCCACACTGCTGCACTTCGGGAGCGGGAAGTAGATGCTGCAGCAACGCGCATGGAAGCTGAGGCCGCAGCAGCAGCTGCTGCTGCAGCAAAAGCCTCGAAGCCAAGCGCCGAGGAGAGGAAGCTATACCCTATGGAAGCGCCCTACTACTTGCCAGAAGCAGCAGGACGCATTCTGGGTCTTGAAGAGGCATCAACGGGGCGTCTTGAAGTGCCAGACTGGACTTACGGGGTCGAGGACCCCCCTGAGGCCAAGCAGCAGCAGGGGGAGCAGGAGCAGCAGCAGCAGCAGCAGCAGCAGCAGCACACCCTGCACGAAGCCGTCAGAATAGACTTCAACAGACCCTTCCCCCCCTCGGGGCCCTGGGCCCCCGTCTACTTCTCCGGCAGGGGCCAGCAGTACCCTATGGGGCCCCTGCTGCTGGCCTGCGCGCGCAGGCCCAGCGGGCGGGCCACCTGCTACGTTGTTCCCCAAACCCCCTACGTCCCTGTAAGCCCCCCTAAACCCTAAACCCTAATCCCTAAACCCCAAACCCTCTCCCCTCCTCCCCAGCCCCCGAGGCCGGCCCTAGCGCTGCAGAAAACCCCAGCAGCAGCAGCAGCAGCAGCAGCAGCAGCAGCAGCGGGAGTTTGCGGGTGTTGTGCGTGTGGCGCCCCTCAGCCCCCTGGAACCACCTTGTACAGGGCCTGGGGCATGTGGGGCGACCGGGCCACAGGCCGGGCCTTTGTGTCCATCTTGGGGCCCACAGCAAGTGCGGGGGCCCTGGGGGCCCCCCCGTTTTGCTGCGAAACTTCGGGGAATGCTGCTGGCTGCATTGCATGCACGGGGCTGCCCAGCGCGTCTTACGACCCTTTGAATTCGGGCGAAGGACCTGCAGCGGGGGAGGAGCCGCGGGGCCCCGGCAGCAGCAGCAGCAGCAGCAGCAGGCCCGCAGAGTCCGAGAGAAAAGACAAAGACGCAGACTCTTGGCAGCAGGCCTCGCAGTTCGAGCCAGTCAGCCCTCAGGAGCTCTTCACGCTGCTCCCCAAGGTCAAGCAGCAGCTCGGAGGAGACCCCGACGTGAGATGGCTGCTGCTGCTGCTGCTGCTGTTGCTGCTGCAGCTGATGGACGTGCTGCTGCTGGGGAATTGTGAACTCCGGCCCCCCCGATGCTGCTGCTGCTGCCATTGCTGCTGCTGCTTTCGTGCCGCATTTCTCTGGCCACTGTTGGTGCTGCAGCTGCCTTTTACCCCTCCGAATGATGTGCTGCTTGCTGCTTGCTGCTGCTGCTGCTGCTGCTGCAGCCCGAGAACCTCCCCTGTGCTGCAACGGAGCCTCCGGCTCCGGGCGTTCCCACTCTTGGTGACGTCTTGCGTTCCCGCACAGTAAGTTCAAATGCTGAATTTACATGCTTTTGACTTTTTAGACCCTTTTGGTTCTTTTAATCCTTTTTATTCTTTAAATCCTGAATATTTTTTGTTTATTTGAATGTTTTTTGTTTATTTGGACCTCAGGATCTTTCTTTGTTCGAGTCCATGTTGAGAACTTCCCACGTGCAGCAGCTGGTGCCCTGCCCAATGACCTTCCTTGCAGTGCCTGATGACAGAGCCCGAGACTTCCAGGGGGCTCGGCCCCCCCCCTGTCTTGCTGCTGCACTAGCGAGGCCGGAGAACCAGAGAAACGTCCTCAAGCTCGTCGGGTCAGCTAGGGTTTAGGGTTTAGGGTTTAGGGTTTAGCGCCTGCGGCCTCGCTCATCCAGCGCTTACCGTCTGGAGCCTCGAGGCTACGGTTTAGGGTTTAGGGTCTGAGGCCTGGGGGCTGTAATTAGGTTTTAGTGCCCACCAAGAGCAGCGATTCTGGCCGTGTGGCTGGCCAGTGTGCTGCAGCAGCAGCGGGCGAGTGTGCTGCAGCAGCAGCAGGCCAGTGTGCAACAGCAGCAGCAGGGTTTTGCGCGTGTTGCTGCTGCAGCCGCATGGCAGCACTTGGCCGCCTCGAGACCCTTCCCGTTGGCTCCAGTGTTCCCGTCCTTTACGGCAACGACGGCCGTGTGAGCCGCCGCGGCCAAAACACAACTTGGAACAATGTGGAGCTTCTCAAGGACAAGATTGTCTTCGACAGAGGAGTAACCCCCTGCTGCTGCTGCTGCTGCTGCTGCTGGTTGCTGCTGCTGCTGCTGCTGCTGCTGTTGGTTGATGCTGCTGCTGCTGCTGCTGTTGGTCAGTGTTACAGGTTAGGGTGTTTTTTGGTGGCTGCGGTGTTGCGGGGGGTTATGCGGCTGTTCTGCCGCTGCTGCTGCTGCTGCTGCTGCAGCTTCTGCATTCCGTGTGGCTGCTCTTGCTGCAGCTCTTTCTCCGTTCCTGCTGCTGCTTCTACCCCGCGCGTGCTGCTGCTGCAGAGTCCGTGGAAATCTGCATGCGCTGCTGCTTTTGCTGCTGCAGGTGATTCATTTGCTGTCCCGCAACGACCTGGCGGACGGGGAAAGCCGGGAGCTGCTGCGCCAAATTGTTTATTGGAATTGCCTTCATGACCATTTGCTGCAGCACCCGGCCCTCACGCGGTTCGCGCTGCTCATGGTGGACAACCGCAGGTCTCTCCCCATCATCGGCATGCCTCCTGGTGAGGGTTTAGGGTTTAGGGTTTAGGGTTTAGGGTTCAGGGTTGATTTGTGAGATGCGAGTTCGAGTGTGATGCTGGCACTGGGCGCTGGCCCAGTCCTAGACCCTAAACTCTAGATCCTAAATAGACCCTAAAGACCAAACGCTAAACCCTAAACCCTAAACCCTAAACCCTTGGTTGTGCAGGCCCTCGGCCCGACTGGGTGGCTCGGGAAAACCCGGGTTGGTTTGCGCGGCCCGCGAACCGCTCCGCTGCTGCTGCTGCTAGTGAAGAGCAGCGAGAGAAAAGCAGCAAATCGGAAGCAGCAGCAAAGGAATCAAAAGAAGAAAGCAGCAAAGGCAAAAGTGCTGAGCGTCCTGAAGCTGAGGGCAGGCCCGAGCCAGAGCAGCAGCAAGCAAAGAGAGGCGCAGCAGCAACAGCTGCAGCAGCAACTGAGACTGAGAGAGGCGGCGCAGCTGAGGCTGCTGCTGAAGAGGCACGGAAAGCAAAGAAACCATCGCCCGCTGCCCCGGAAACTGCAGCAGCAGCAGCAGCAGCGGCACCTGCTGCACCAGAGGCTGAAGCAGCAGCGCCAGAAACTGAGGAACGCCGGCCCGAACCTGCGAGGAAAAGTGAGAGAAAAGCTGCAGACTCCCCAGCAGCAGAAGCGCAGGAAGAAAGCAGGCCAGAAGAGCAAGCAGCAGCAGCAGCAGCAGCAGCAGCAGCAGCAGCAGCAGAGGAGGAGCAGCAGCCGCAATAGTTAAGGCGGCGAGGGCTGAACGATGAAACCCTTCAATCGAAGGGAACTAAGGGGAGCAGCAAACGGGACGGAGGCAGCAAAAGTGGAAGCAGCATCCTCGGAAGCAGCAGCAAGTACCTCTGTGTCTCATGTCTTCTCCATATTTGTGATTTTGTGGCTGCTCGGGGCCCCGCATGAGCAGCATCAACAAAGGCGGCAGCAGCAGCTGCAGCAGCAGCCGCAGCAGCAGCTGCAGCAGCATTCGCAGCAGCAGCCGCAGCAGCAGCTGCGGCTGCCGCGAAGTTCCTGGTGACCGCCGGCATCTCTGTCACCACTGGACGAGGTGTCATAGTTAGGGCTGGCAGAATTAGTGGCTAGAGAGCAGCAGCAGCAACAGCTGCTGCAGGTGCTGCTGCAGGTGCTGCTGCAGTGCTGCTGCTTTGCTGCTGCTGCAGCACTGCGGCTACAGCGGCGCGTAGGCGTTGCTACGCCCGGCCCATTTGACATCCACGCATTTGGCTGTAAAGACACTTGACGTCAAAATCATGTCTTTTGCATTTTTATGAACTTAGAAATATAAAAGTTCTTATTTTTAGAACAGATTTTATATTTTTAGAATAGATCACTCCGACTCTCTTTAGTGCATGCACAGTCTTCGGAAGTATAGCATTAATGCTGCATGCAACACGCATGCAAGACGCATGCGCGCTGACACAGCATCTCATGCATGCATGCATTCGTGCGCCAGTGCACTTACGCATGCATGCATGCATGCGTGCATGCATGCATGCATGCAGAGTTTGTATTGAGTACTCAATACAAACTCATGCATGCATGCATGCAGAGTTTGTATTGAGTACAGCCCTCCAGAGTTGCCTCAAGAGGGTAAAAGAGTCAGCAGCGAGAAGAGCCCGCAGCAATTCCGGCAGCTAGACCAGCAGCAGGAAGGAGAGAGAGTTGAGCTTTGTGAGTTTGTGTTTGCTTCTCTTTTTTGCTGCTGCTGTTGCTGCTGCTGCCACTGCCGCTGCTGCTGTTGCTGCTAGCCCGTCATCTTGTGAATCTGTTTTTGCGTTTTGTGTCTTGACAGGGCTTTTTAATTTTCGATTCAATTTCTTTACTTGCCTCTTCTCTTTTGCTGATCTCTCTTCTTTTGCATCCTTGGTTCATTTTCTGCGAACTTTTTTCGGCTGTTTGTATATTGCCTTTTTGTCTTCTCTGTGTTTCATTTGTCTGCATTCGTTTTTGATTTAAAAAGTCTTTTCTATTTGTTCACCTCTTCCTATTTCTGTGTTGTGAAGTTGGTGGATTGCCGGCATTGTTTCAGGTGTATACGGTCCAGGTGTATCTACACTCGTGCATGCACATTTGGAAAGTAAAACAAATGCAGATACATGAGGGAGAACAGAAGCATAAATGAGCACATTTTTACAAGTGCAGACATTTATGTATATGTGTTAAATAGTCACTTTCCCATTCACATTTTCATTTATTTAGTCTAGCCATATATGTGCGCCTCATGAGACAGCGCTAGCCATTCACTGCAAATATGCATGCATGCATGCATGCATGCATGCATGCATGCATGCATGCATGCATAGAAGAAAATGCAAAGCAGGGAATGCATGTGGTGCAACTCAACGCAGGCAAGACAGCTGATGAAGCCAAACACCGAGCAGAGAGCGCATGCAGCGTAGCGCATGCGGGGCTACGAAAGCAGGCATGCAGCGCAGTGTGTCCAGACACGCATGCATGCATGCATGCATGCATGCATGCATGCACGCATGCCATTAAGCAGAGATTGCTGTGTGAAGTGTTGGCATGACTATGTGCCTGCGCAGTCTAAAAGCAGCACCTGCTGCATAGCTGTAGGTACACCCGAAGGCATATATGTGCCGGCGCAAAGCTTGCAGTGCATGCAGAGACTCGCGAGCATGCATGCATGGCAAAACTATTTAGAACTAAATATGTTTTAAATGAAAAGGTTAAAAGCTAAGCTCGGCATTTAAATAGACTACGGTTCCTCTACGGAATTCCACAAAACGTGTGTGCGACTGACGCTATTTGCTGCAGTCTACGCTTTTGTGGCTGTAAGTGCATGCAGGTACGCATGCGCATGCAGATATGCATGCACATGCAGATATGCATGCGCATGCAGATATGCATGCGCATGCAGCTAGCCGCAGAAGCTAATTGTAGACTATGCGAGGCAAAGAGACAAAGACAAGAAAGGGCTTTATATTGCAGCTCTCAAAAAAGAAGACTGGCTCACGAATGCCTGCTGAAAATTTGATGTTGTTTGAGGAGGAAGTTTGGGGAACAAAGTGTAAAACTAAATGAGAAAAGCAAAAAAGAGAGAAATTTATAAAATGAGACAAAGAAAAAGACTTGAAGAAAGCAAAAAGCATAAAATAAAGTTTTGACAGAGATGAAACGAGAGGCAAACGCAGCAGCTGCTGCAGCTGCGCAGTGTCTAGGCAGCTGTTTCGAAAAGCTGCAGAAAGGCGAAAGCAATGAAAGGGAAGAAATGAAGTGGAAAGACAGAAACAAAAGATGATATTAATGGAAATACACAAATAAAATATAATATTAATGAAAAGAAAGGGATAAAAGATAACGTTTTTATAAAATAGAAGCAATACAAATCAAAAGGCGCTGCCAGACGGGCACGTGGCCGCTGATGATGCTGCTGTAGATGCTGCTGCTGCTGCTGCATTGCTTGCCGTCCAGCCTCCAAGGCTGCTGGTGCTGTCCATTTGCTGCTGCCCGTATGCTGCTGCCAGCATCATCTGCTGCTGCTGCTGCTGCTGCATGGCTCCACTGTAGCAATTATACAGTTGGGAACAGTCGAAGCCTAGGGCTGCGTATTGTTGCTGCAGCTGCTGCTGATAGGCTTGTTGCTGCCACGCCTGAACAGCAGCACCACACGCAGCAGCAGCAGCAGCAGCATCAGAACCCACTAGTCGAATTCACTACCCCTTTCTTTGCTGCTGCTGCTGCTGCTGGGTTTGCGGCAGCTGCTTCAGTTGCTGCAGCTCGCCAAGCAGCACGCCATTCTGCTGCTGGCACCGCTGCTGCTGCTCATGCTGCAGTTCTTCTGGCCCGAAGCTGCTGCCCCTTTCCAGCTGCTGCCAAATCCTATAGCTTAATAGCTGCGGCGGCGGAAAGCGCAGAGCAGCGGCAGCCAGCGAGCAGCAGCACGCTGGGGTGTACATACACCTCAAGTTGTCTGCGTCGGGGCTTCCACATCCCAACGCCTGGGTCGCCTAGGCCGATGTGCTGCTTCTGCAGCCTGTTGTCCAAGAGCAATGCCGTTGCGGCTGTCGTTGTTGCTGCTGCTGCTGCTGTTGCTGCTGCCGTTGCTGCTGCTGTAGCTGCCGCTGCTGCTGTTGCTGGTTGCGGTCTGCAGCGAGCAGCAGCAGGGGGACTGAGTGGGATAGAGCCCAGCAGCAGCATCATTGTGCAGAGCTGCAGTGACACTCCAGCAGGCGCAAGGAGAGAAGGGACTGGATCTATACTGCCAGATCTGTCCAGTTCCTGCTGCTGCTGCTGCTGCTGCTGCTGCTGCTGCTGCTCCCGCTGCTAGCGCAGGAGTGCCTCCATTGCTGCAAGGCGCCTGGCTTCTCGCACGAGCGTAACTTGGGTAGGGACTGTCTTCAGCAGTGATCAAAATATGCGTTGATGTCCGTTTGCTGCTGCTGCCCTTTTGCTGCTGCTGATCCTCCCCTGCAGCAGCAGCTGCAGCGCGGGTGGATGTTAGCTCCAATGTTTTGCTGGGAGAGCAGCCGGGAGTGCTGCTGTCCATTGCCCACCTTTTCCTTTTGGTGCTGTTGCTGCTATCTCCTTTCGCAGCAGCAGCAGCTGCTGCTGCTGCTGCCAGGTCCTCCTCTTGCGGGGCTGCTGCTGCAGCACGCCGCGCTGTAGACACACTCGACGGAAGCGTGCTAAGCGCCTCCTGTTGCAGCAGCTGCAGCAAAGTATGCTGCACCGGCAGTGGCAGCGGGCAGCAGCAGCCGCACTTGCTGCACTTGCTGTTTCGAGGAGCAGCAGCTAGGGCGATCGCAGCAGCAATGGGCTGCAGCGCAGCAGCGGTCTGCTGCAGCAGCGTGTGTCCAACAACAGCACGCAGCAGCTGCTGCAGTTTGCTGCTGTCGGAGCTGGGGTAGCTCTGCAGCAGCAGCTGCAGCACGCCAATTGCGTGCACAGAAGGGGGCAAAAACACAGAAGCAGGGTGCGGTGAACACACCAGCAGCTGCAGCAGCAGCTGCGGCAGACGGCGGCCTCCCTTAAGGTCAGTCCTGTCTTCTGTCGGCAGCAGCGAAGGAAGCAGCAGCGGGATGGTGAAGCCAGCTGCAGCAGCAGCTGCTTGCTGCTGCTGCTCCGGCTGTGCCAAAATGCCCCCATGTTGCTCCTCCCCATTGCAATCTGGCGTGATTTCTTCCGGTGATGAGGACTTGTTGCTGCTGGTGCTGCTGCTGCTGCTGCTGCAGCTGCTGCTGCAGCTGCTTTGAAGGCTGCGTCCAGTGCAGCTGCCGCTGCAGCAGCAGCTGCTGCATGCCCCCGGCTGCAGCTGCATCCATCCAGCCCCATACTTGCTGCTGCGTAGCTTCAACGCTTCCAGCAGCCACAGCAGCAAATTGCTGCTGCTGGCTTGGGATGCAATATCTCCGTCGTCGAGAGCTGCATCCGACACTGCTCCCCCACCGGCTGCTGCTGCTGCTGCTGCTGCTGCTGCTTTAGGCCTTGGGTTGAAGTTGCTGATGCAGCCCCAAGCGTACAGCTCCAGCCAGCCAGTAATGGGAAAAGGCAGCCAGACGGTAGGCAGGGAGTCTTCGTGCTGCAGCAGCAGCTGGTCGTGCAGCAGTTGCTGCTGCTGCTGCTGTGTCTGCTGCAGCTGCTCCCCGAGCCGCTGCAGCTCGCTGCAGATAGAAGGACAGTGGTGTGGGTCGCAGACATGCTGCAGCAGTGGGAGCTGCGCAGCAGTTGCGAAGAGCTGCTGCTGCTCTTGCTGCAGCTTAAGCTTC